CAGGCTGCAGTGACTGGACAGCAAGGCACCTGAACTGAACAGATTACAGAATCACAAAAGCCCAAGGCAGTGCACAAACAGTACAGAGAAGAGACCTACATCTCTTGCACTTTGTTGCATCACTTTCCAAATGCTTGACAGTACATGTTTGTGGCTACCTCCACAGCCTGTGAAGCATGCTGTATATCTCTGCACGACTGACTCTTGCTTCTGCTGATCTACTTTGCATTGGATCTTTCTATCAGTAACTCTTGGAACACATTTGTATCTTTTAAGATACTAATTTCTCCAAAGGTGTGGGTACAGATGTGCAGAAAGCATAGAGGAGAATCTAAGTTACAGAGTTTGCTTTGAATGATTTAAGTTTACATTGTGAATGGACTGCACAGATATTCACCCTTTCAGGAAGCAACCACACAGACAGCCTGTGTTGGTGGAAGCCTGCACATGGGGTCTAGTGGAGATTGCTAAGGGCAGCCAACTGCCTGAGCCATGCCTGATGGGCTGTGCAGCATGAAGAGCCATGACCCAACCCCCACTCCCTCGTAGTGGCCTTTCACTCCCACACTGAGCTCCAGATCTTCCAGATGTGCCAGGCCACCTTCATGGACATCATGACCTAAGTGGCCCCCCACACTGAGCACCAGGATGTCAGCATAAGATGACCCCTCCTTTTGGAGAAACAAGTGGCTCTCACCATCTGGAATCTGGCCATGTCCAATAGCCTCTGATCCATCATCAAACACTGGTGTGAGCCGGTTCACAATCAGAGCAGCCATCCAGAATGTCCTGGCCAACCACTTCACCTACACCATCAACCTGCAGGAGGTTGTTGCCAGCTTCCACCGCACGGGCTTCCCCAATTGCATGGGGGCCATGGACAACAACCATATCCTCATCCTCTGCCCGCCCAAATGTGCTCAGGAGTTCATCAATCACAAGGGCTTCTTCTCCATTATCCTGCAGGGTGTTATTGACCACTGGGACTGCTTCAGCCACATCTTTGCAGGATTTGAGTGCGGCACCCACAATGTCACAGTCTTCTGGAACTCCACCCGCAACAGATGATGGAGAATGGGTCCTATGCTCCCAGGGTCCCCAGCATCAATGTTAGCAGCATACTCATCCCACCTCTCATCATCAGAGTCCCAGACTAACCACTCCTGCCCAGACTCATGAAGACCCAACCTGAACAGCTAAACCACAGGAAGAAGCATGTCAGTTATTGCCTAAATACACACCATATGACTCTGGCATGTGACTTTTGGAGCCTCATCCTCAAATTGCTTTGGGGGCCCACATTCAGGGGGCAAATTCCAGGGTGGAAGGGGGTGGCCCTTGTCCTGGGGAGGTCTGAGGTGGTCCTACCCTTGGGCCCTGGGTTCTGCAGTCCAATGCCTTTGATTCACCTCTGTCTATTGGAGCTGGCATCACAAGGAAACTTTCCATTTCCCTGGTGTCCAAGCCAATGAAACCCACACTCCACTCCTTCTGTCCCAGGTCTACTTCCCATTCCTCTTGTTCCTAGTCAAGGTCTTGCTGGGGCCAGTTTTCCCTACCCTGAGTCTTGGGGCCCAACCTGTGGGGGACCCCTGTTATGCTTGCTCCTAGGAAGGCTTCCCAGAGCAAGATATGACAACCCAATGGGACTGGGTGCCAGTTTCTCCCACCATACCTAGCTTATATGACAATTGATGAGCTCTAAAAGCTGCAGACCCACCTCTGACTCACTGGCAAACAAACAGCAGTGGGCTGGAGAAGTGTCTCTGGAAGTTGCAAGAGGCAAGGATTCTTTTGGGGGATAGTATATTTGGACCGGCTGCATTGTTGGGATAAAGTTAGACAAGCTTTCACATACAAAGCATTCTGCATCATCTTGTTTGCAATGTCCTGCTTCAGTGCTCTTGCTTACCAGTCATGAAATTATATTAACTCTCAGAATACAAATGATAACATGTTCTCCATGTGCAGAGCTCCAGGGAATTACTCCTGGAAAGTCCTTAGAGATCATATGTTGATTTATTTTTTTTTGGCCGGGGGGGCGGGGAGGTGGGGAGCAGTAGCAGCTTTTTACTGCCTGTGAAACCTGGAAAGAGTTGCTTATGATCATCTGCAGACAGGAAGGTGTCACCATTTATTTATTTTTTTTCTGCCTAGACTCAGTAAGAACAAGAAAAGAGTTCTTAGATTTTGTGCTTTTGCCATCAAAGGAGTTAGATAGCTAAGGAAGTCAGGAAATAGATAGTTTTCTTTGGTGATCAGTAAAATCTTCAAGTTGGAGACCAGCACAGTAAATCTGGAAGACACCAAGAAGCTCACCAAAAAAGTATGTTTTGTGCTATTTGATGAATTTTAAGAGGAAGTTTATTCTAGTTCCCACTACCTCTGCACCTTATCAAGTACCACATTTCAAGGTGGTGAAACTACCTGTGCCTCATGTTCCCCATTAAAAAACATATTTTAGAGTGATTAAAAATCACAAATAGTTTTAAAGAAAAAGTGAAGAGACATATGAGCAGACAGAAAATAGGCAAGATAAGTAAATTAAAAAAAAAGTCAAACTCCAGTAGTGGTCTGAAGGGAGGTTATTTTTTGCTGTTGTTATTTGTTGTATTGTTATATTTTTTCAGGAGGGTGGTTTATTTGTTTTGTTTTTCCTATAATAGATACCAAAGCATGCAATACAGAATGTATCTATTATCCATCAAATGAAAAATGTTATACATGTAACATATACTTTAAATAAAATATGTGATTTATTCACACACACATGCATATGCTTATACAACATTAATTTATGAGCAAATCAGCACTGTATATTGCATTTCTAGACTTGTCAAGAGCTTCTGACAATACAGATAGAAGTAAACTTTGGGAGAAATTGATAAATTATGGGATTGACCCTTCTCTTTTGCATTTGTTGATAGAATATTATAAAGATACATGGGCCCAAGTTAGGTGGGGATTGAAGGGTGAATTTACACACAAAAAATCACATACTAAAAGGGGTTAGACAAGGATGTATTTTGGCCCCTTTGTTATTTAATCTTTACATGGATGACATTATTGGAAATATGCAGGCTGCGCATTTTTATCCCCCAAAAATAATAGCAACCCCAATTCCTATTTTAATGTATGCAGATGACACTGTTATACTGTCAAGAACTCCTATTGGATTACAGAGTGCAATTACAACTTTTGAGCAGCTTTGTGGACAAAAGAACTGAAAGATAAATTATGATAAATCCAAAATAATTTACTGGGGAAGTTGTTGGATGAAATATCCATGGAATATAAGGGGAACTACACTTGAAGTTGTGAAAACCTATAGATATTTGGGTGTGTTATTCACAGCTTTTCCATCATGGAAACATCATATTCAGTCAGTTAAAACTAAGGCACCCCAATCTGCTGTGGCTATAAAGAAATATGAAGCCTGCTGCCAGCCCCCATCCCCTGCCTGCTCCCCCAGCTTCCCCACAGGTGCCCCACCTGCCCCAGCTCCCAACCCTTTATTACTCACCAGGTGCTGTTAGGTGGGGGGTGATCCCCACTGCCCCCCACTGCCCCACGCTGTATGGGGGGCTCTGCACAAGCCCACTGATCCCCCCCCCCTCCTCGCTCCCTCAGCCCCCCCTTGGCTGCCCCTCC